CTCTCTCTCTCTCTCTCTCTCTCTCTCTCTCTCTGAAAATAACTTAATTGTAGTAATTACTAAAGTAAATACAATATATTCTATCATAAAATATAGACTTTAATGTAAAAGTACCCGCAAATGATGTATTATTTTATATATTAAGATAATTATCGTTTATTTGAAAAACAAATTCATATTTCTATTAAACTATTAAAACATACATGTACAGTATACTAAGATTATATAAAAAAAGACACCGATACTTACAGTATGAAAAATACTGAACAAAACAAATAAATACATCACTAATTTTACCATATGCATACAGAATTACTGCTGGCTCATAATAAGTAAATAACATAACATAAATTTTGCAATAATATAACACATGAACAAACAAATTTTCTACATGATATAATACAAAAATTAATAAAATGTCTAACATTGTATGCATTATACCTTTTAGTTTCGTAACATATAAATAGTGTTTATAGAAATGCTACCATAAAATGCATTTGAATTGGTGTAATTAATTTATATGACACTAAAAGAGTCCTAGATAATTAGTTAACAACAATGCTCATCATAATGACATAATTTAACTTAAGGTTTTTATGTTATATAAAGTTTTTATTAATTATAATAAAAAAGTAAACTCATTTTGGCTTTCATTGGGCGCACATTCGGGTAAACATTGTTTTAACAGTATTTTTAAAAACTAAAATTTTAATTTCATTGCCTGTCAATCAGCCTAACGATGAATTTTCGGTTATACCTATTGCTAATACCATTAATATATGTGGCGATTGAGTGCAATGTCGTGGCGGCTGAAGACCTGATCAAAGATGAAGCGCAGGCCATAGCGTATCTCAATAGAGTGAATACCAATTTAGCCACAGAAATGAACAAAAACACCGAGGCAGAGTGGAACTACGCCACTGACATCAGAGATAGCACCGCTAAAGCCAGGGTATGTCACATCTTTTATATAATTTATATTGTTAATTGTTATAATAATATTAACTCTACGACATATTGCAAATATATTTGTCATATTTACAGTAAATTTTTATATTTAAGATTTTGCTAATTTAAGATTTACGCATATTACCATTACATGTATTGGGTGTTGCCATAGAAACCAATGTAAATCTTAAATTAGCAAAATCTTAAGTATAAAATTTTACTGTATAGTTAATAGCATAACATTTTTGTGGTACAATAATCGTATAGTTATATAATAACAATGTTTGCCACCGATAGGAAGAAGCGACCAAAGCGTTCAACAAGTTTCAAAAGGAACAGTCAATTGAAACCAAGAAATACGACTGGACTAACTTTGAGCCCAAAAACAAGCGACAGTTTGAGAAACTGGCAATCATTGGCACCGCAGCCCTCACCGGCGACGACGAGCAAAATGTGTGCATTTTATTTAGTTAACTTCTCTGTTTTAACTAGTTAATATTTAATAATAATTAATATATGATTTAACCATGTTTGTTTTAGTATATAAAAGCGACGAGCAATATGGAGACCACGTACAGCACAGCCAAAGTGTGCCTGGGCGAATGCACCTGCAATTGCAACCAAGAATTGGACCCTCGTACGTTTGCCGTGTGGTTTGATTAAAATTATATGCATAATCTAGATGAATTTACATTTCAGATCTAAATAAAATAATGGCCGAATCAAAAGACTACGCCCTCTTAGAAGAGGTTTGGACCAAATGGAGAGATGTGTCGGGAAAACTCATGCGAAAGGATTTCATTGAATATTATACGTTAGGCAACAAAGCGGCCACTCTTAACAAATTGCCCAATAAAGGTATGCAGTATAATATTTTTATAAGTATTGTATATTAATACAATTTGTAAATAATTTATAAACAATAGAGTTCAAAACGCTGGACGATCTGTGGCTCTTCCCGTGGGAAACACCCGATATTAAAACACAAACTGAAGATTTGTGGAAAAAATTGAAACCATTCTATGAGAAACTTCACGCATATGTAAGGAAACATTTGAAGAAAGCATATCCCGACAAAATGCCCGCAGACGGCACTATACCCGCACATCTGTTGGGCAATATGTGGGCACAACAGTGGAGTAATATCATGAATACGGTTCCCGGTGTTGATCCATATCCAGACGTTAAAACAATTGATGTAACGGACGAAATGGTAAAACAGGTAATGAATTATTGGATAATAAACTCCAGGGAAATACATATTGATATTGATATTTATACAATGACTTGCAGGAAAAGACGGCGAAGCAAATGTTTGAATATGCGGACAAATTCTTCACCGATTTAGGTCTCGACCCAATGACACAAAAGTTTTGGACAAATTCTTATATCGAGAAGAGAACCGGTGTTGAGATGGTTTGGTTAGTGCTTATATTCACAACATTTATTAATTTACAATATTTGAATTCAAACTAATGTTTTGCTATTAAACGATAATTATTTTCCAGTCACGCCTCGGCCTGGGATTTCTACACGACGGCTGGCGATGACTTCCGGATCAAACAGTGCACAAACATCAATATGGAGGACCTGATCACTGTTCACCACGAAATGGGACACATCGAGTACTTTATGCAATATAAAAACCAACCGGCCATTTACAGGGATGGCGCCAACGCTGGTATAGAAAATCATATAAATTAAATTATATGTTAAAATATATAGTAATTATTTATTTAATTATTTTTGTTAGGCTTTCACGAAGCGATCGGTGATTTGTTGGCGCTGTCTGTGTCGACACCAAAACATTTGGTGAAAATGGGACTTTTGACATTGGATTCGACAATAAATATGGATGAAGTGAATATCAAATACCAGCTTAAGATGGCTTTAGACAAACTCGCATTCTTGCCGTTCGGCTTCATTATGGATAAGTATCGATGGGATGTCTTCTCCGGCACCACATCGTCCGACCACCTGAACAAACACTGGTGGGAACTGAGAGGTCAATACCAGGGACTGTCGCCACCCGTCAAACGTAGCGAAGATGACTTTGACCCTGGTGCTAAATACCACATTCCCGCTAGTGTTGAATACATTAGGTATTAATCGTATAAATTATAATAATTACTATTATTAACACTTCAATGGCTTTAATTTCAGATACTTTGTCTCGCATTTACTGCAATTTCAGTTTCACAAAGCGTTGTGTAGTTTCGGTCAAAAGAATGAAAATCTCTGGGAGTGTGACATCGATGGCGACAGAGAGGCCGGCGCTAAATTGAAGTCACTATACATTTAATAACATTAATCTAACATTATTTAACATACCATCTCATTTAATAGGGCAATGTTGACATTGGGCTCATCCAAGCCATGGCCAGAACAGCTCAAAGACCTGACCGGAAGCGATAAGATGGACGTCCAGCCATTGCTCGATTATTTCCAGCCGTTGATCACATTCCTTGACCAGCAATTGGCCAATGAACCAAAAGGGTGGGAATTCAATGGTAAGCATAATTGCTCTTGGTTCTAGTTGTTAAGTAGCATATATCGATTATTTTTAACTTTCAATTTATTTTTATTTTTTCAATTTGTTTACCGAAAGATATAAAAAATATTTTTATCAAATTTTGTTTAGTTGACGATTACGTCGGCGGCGCCCACACAGTGATCACTTCACTAACACTTATTCTTAGTGCCATTTTTATATCAATTTCCCTGATTTACTAAAATCAAGTACTGATCAGTCAATTGTTATAAATCTAATATAAATTATGTTCAATTATAACGACTAAATAATTCAAATATTTAATAAATTTGAATCAATCATTTGATTGGATTAATGAAAACTGTATTCATTACAAAAAATATGTAACGTTTTATACGAAACAAAATCTTCTAAATTAATAAACATCTGTTGTTTTTAACTATCATTTGAAGTCAATTAAAGCTGTTTTACTTAAATTTTAAATTTAATTATAATTTAGCATTAATCATTACTTACATTCAAATTCATTAAAATGAGATAGGTCATAAATTGTAATGAAACTAACAATAATATGTACGTTAATGGGGGTAATGTGTGTCGGGTATGAGTGCGGGAAAAAACCCGCAAAACCCGCACAAAACGAGTTGATAAGCGACGAGAAGGCGGGCGCCGAATATCTGGCATCACTGGAGCCCAAAATCACGGGTTGGGGTAATAAGGCGTCGATCATTAATTGGGCCCACGATTCAGACATCAATGAAAAGACATTAGCGGCTAAGGTTTGCCAACAAATGCAATCAATTTTACCTTTTTTTTTGTTTGAAATTTTGTTGATTTAATGTTTACTTTTAACTAAATTTTTTATAGTATTATTTGTATATTATTTAGACAAAAATGGCCAAAGAATTCAATGCATATCAAAAACAACAGGCCATCGACACAAAGAAGTACGACTGGTCTAACTTTTTACCACATAATAAGAGACAGTTTGAAAAGTTGGCAATTATTGGCACCTCTGCTCTCGACACTGAAGATGAGAAAAAGGTTTTTGCTCTCTCTCTCTCTCTCTCTCTCTCTCTNATTTTTCCACATAAAAAATTTTGGAAAAAAGTTTTTTGTTTTATATTTTGTGTGTTTTCTTCTCTTTTGGAGTCAAAATCATCGCACGTTTTGTCACTTTATTATTGACCGATAGATATATACAATCTGTAGTCTCTCTCTCTCTCTCTCTCTCTCTCTCTCTCTCATTAGTGATTTTCCCAAATAGATGATTAAAATCGGCACTAATATGGAAAAGGCTTACAGCACTGGCAGAGTATGTGTTAAAGAGAACTGTATGCTAGAATTGGATCCAGGTACAATTCACGATAGAAAGTTATATATTTGTCACACACGATAAAACATTGTTTGTATAGATCTATATAAAATAATGGCCGATTCGAAAGACTATGATGAATTATTGGAGACGTGGGTTAACTGGAGGAACGCCACGGGCAAGAAAATGCGCAAAGACTACATCAGTTACGTTGGTTTTGTTAATAAGGCGGCCAAACTCAATGAATTACCCAATAGAAGTATGTATTCAAATATATAGTTTAATTATCTGAGCATAACTTCTATGCAAATCTGTTATAAACACCAGAGTTTGAAACATTTGACGATCTGTGGCTCTTCTCGTGGGAAACGCCGGACATTAAGAACCAAACGGAGAGTCTATTGAATGAATTGATGCCTTTCTATCGCAAACTTCACGCATATGTGAGGAAACATCTGAAGAAAGCATATCCCGGCAAAATACCTAAAGACGGGACAATACCGGCCCATCTATTGGGCAATATGTGGGCACAACAGTGGAGTAATACCATGAAAACCGTTCCCGGAGTGGATCCATATCCCAAAATCGCTACCATTGATGTTACAAAAGAATTATTGAAACAGGTAAATAGTAATTCCTTATGTTTAAATAATATTAATGTTGTTATAATTATGATTGTATTGTTGGGACAGAACTATACGGCTAAACGTATGTTTGAAATGGGAGACAAATTCTTCACCGATTTGGGTCTTCAGAAACTGACGGATAAGTTCTGGGAAATGTCTATTTTGGAGAAGATTCCCAATAAAGAGATGGTCTGGTAAGTCATTCACTTCAATAGTTTTACCATGTTTATTATTGAAATTAATATTAATTATTGGTCTCATAACGATATAACCAAAGTCACGCCTCTGCCTGGGATTTTAGCTCCGAAGCTAAGGATGATTACCGGTATTGTTTTCAATTATTTTGTTAGTCATTAAATTTGTTTAATAAATAATCATCAATTATCTAATTTATACAAATAGGATTAAAATGTGCACAAATATCAACATGGTCGATTTTATCACAATACACCACGAGTTGGGACACATCCAGTATTACATGCAATACGCCGACAAACCGGCGTCCTTTCGGGAAGGCGCTAATCCGGGTTAGGATTAAACATATGTTGACTAAAACATTGCTGACAATTGCATTGCATTTGCTTCAGGCTTTCACGAGGCTATCGGCGATCTGTTGGCTTTGTCTGTGTCGACACCGAAACACTTGCAAAAAGTGAAACTCTTGACAATCGATGAATCGGTGGATCTAAAGAAAATCACCATAAAATACCAGATGAAAATGGCGTTGGATAAGCTGGCGGTGTTACCATGGGCTTTCCTCGTCGACAAGTGGCGCTGGGATGTGATGTCGGGTGAGGCCAACATCAATCACATCAACAAACGGTGGTGGGAATTGAGGGGCAAATATCAGGGCGTATCGCCGCCCGTCAAGCGCAGCGAAAGCGACCTCGATCCCGGCGCTAAATATCATATACCCTTTTGCGTTGAGTATATCAGGTATTGATTTCAATCACGTAACACAGGGTTATAATTTGTTTAACTTATTGACTATTATATCACCAGATATTTTGTGTCACATGTACTGCAGTTTCAGTTTCACAAAGCGTTGTGCAGTTTCAGCCAAAAGGATGTCCCGCTCTATGAGTGCGATATCGATGGCGACAAAGAGGCCGGCGATAAGTTGAAGTCTGATTTTACCAATAGGTTATAAGTAATGGCAATGAATCCTAAGAAATCAATTGTTTTGATAGAAATATGTTAACATATGGTTCAAGCCTCAATACCGGTGATGTCGAGTTTGTCTACTGGCCGTGGCTCTTCTACCTGCAAGTCGGCGACGAGCTCATGAAGGTTGGTAACGTTCTCAAAAACCTGTTACTCAATTTCCCTCTCTTTTAACCTACCCTAAAGTTACCATATACTGAAAATTATAATAATTAAACATAACACAAATCTTTAATTAAATATTAACACATATGTATTATATATTAATAATTAATACTAGTTAAATTTGAACTGTTAATAATAAAATACTGTGTAAAAATTAACAAGTTATTAATTGTTTGTTTCGTTTAGTTGAGGATTATTTCGACAATTCTCTCACATTTTTCAATACTTTGGATACTAATAAGAAGCGAAAATCGGCACACGTTTGACACCCATTAGATCTGTTCACCAATTAATACACAAATATTTGTTCATTTATTGTTTAGTACAATTTACAACCAATTTTTAAATGCTTTTTGTGATTATTTTTAATTAATTTTTTAAAAATATAATAAATATTAGTGTATTTATAAATAAACTAGATAGATTACAATTATTTGTATGCCATATTGCGGAATAATATTTTTAAAATTAATTTTCCATTACTCTTAATGTGTTGGAAATTTCCTTTAAAAATCATATTTTCCGGTTTATGTTTCCCTTTAAAAGTAATATAAGTTTTAAACAATTTATTAAACCATAAATTAAAAATAAATTGAAAGTTGAGAAAAATTTACACAAATTAATAAAAAATAAAATGACCAATAATTTAAAATTCACAATGTTTCTTTTTGAGTCAGTGTTAAGGAAAATTCTTGGTTCAAAACTTTTCCAGAATATGACTGAACCTCAAAAAGCATACATTTTTAGTTAAAATTAAACACATTTTTGGTATACAGTTGGAGTTGAGAAAAATTCTTAGTTCAAAACATTTCCAGAATATGACTGAACCTTAAAAAGCATACATTTTTAGTTAAAATTAAACATATATTTGGTGTACAGTTAGAGTTGAGAAAAATTCTTAAAATTGTTGTAAAATTTTTAGTTCAAAACATTTCCAGAATATGACTGAACCTTAAAAAGCATACATTTTTAGTTAAAATTAAACATATATTTGGTGTACAGTTAGAGTTGAGAAAAATTCTTAGTTCAAAACATTTCCAGCATATGACTGAATCTCAAAAAGTATTCATTTTATTTGTTTAATATTTAAACAATTTTTGCTAAACCATAATAGTTAAAGAAATTTAGTGAATTTCGCCAAATAGACTGCCCATACAGTAAACTTGCGGCCAGTGTTTAATATTTAATTACAAATTGTCAATAAATTGCAGAAAAATCACTTTTAAAAGTTTAAATTTTAAATAAATTTTATTCAAATAAATAAACACTAAAAATAAATTTAATAAATATTTCTACTATTAAGTAAACATAAGCCTGTATTTCAAAATTGATGGCCCGATTATGGATCGGAATAATTCAAAACTTAATTACAATACCATTAATCTATGGCACGAATTTACGTAAACATACAGTCATTGCAAATAACAATACAATTAAAAAGTAAATCAATACTGAATCCAATGGTAAAAATGTGAAATAAATTAAAAATCAATGACAAATTTATTGCTCGTATTATTATTATTATTATTCTTGAGGTTAACTATAGTCTCGTTGACAAACTTTGTGAGATCCGTGCGATTCATTTTACCGCTGATGGTCTTCGGTATCTCATCCACGATATAGAGCTCATCGATGGCTATATTTTGTTGCGTTAAATGGTCTGAAAAAATACATTCAAAAACACTAATTAAAAACAGTTAATAAAAACGTTTAAGTAATTTTTGTGTATGGTAAGTATTTTAAGAAGTTGTGAAGGCGGTATAGATTGTGGAGAAGTAACTAACTCACCAATAATAATAATAATAACAGCGAGAAGAACTGCTGCTGGTCTCGACTAGGCGTCTGGCCGTGGATGCGATGATACGCACCAAAAATGGCCACTTCTTTGACGTTGAAGTGAGACAACAGAATCGCCTCCAAAGACGTGGGACTGATATGTAGGCCCTTATACTGTATGAAGTCGTCGACCGGATCCACAATCTGTAGCTTATTATTGCGGTCGTAATATCCGATGTCATTGGTGTGGAACCAGCCGTCGGCGTCCATCGCGTCCCGAAGATCGTCGCCAATACCGCCGACGCCTGTACTCAGGTATCCGTTGAACAGTTGCGGACTCTTAACACACACTTCGCCCACTTGTCCGGCGCCCAGAGCTATGTCTGTGTCGGTGTCCACAATCTTGATGCTGACGGACGGCACGGGAACGCCACACGTCTCGTTGTC